ATTGTAATTGTTCCATTTTCAGACTGCCTAATGTTTTATCAAACAAAGAATAATTTCTTTCCATTGTAAAGATATTTCCCATTTTTTTTTTTTTTTTTGGTTTTTCGAGACTGTGTAGCTTTGCGCCTTTCCTGGGACTCACTTGGTAGCCCAGGCTGGCCTCGAACTCACAGAGATCCGCCTGGCTCTGCCTCCCGAGTGCTGGGATTAAAGGCGTGCGCCACCACCGCCCGGCAATATTTCCCATTTTTTAATGTGGGAAAATTTTTTCTCTTTTAAGTACTTTCTCCCTTTAAGATATATGATATCTTAATTAACTTACCAAGTCTGCATAGAACAGTAGAAGTCCACATTTTATTTATCCATTCTTCAATTGAAGGGCATCTATTTTGTTTCCAGGTCCTGGCTATTACAAACAATGGTGCTATGAACATAGCTGAGCATGTGTTCTTGTGGTATGATTGAGTATTCTTTGGGTATATGCCCAAGAATGATATCGCTGGGTCCTGAGGGAGGTTGACTCCCAATTTTCTAAAACTATCTGTTTCTGGGTTTCATTTGTTGGGGAGACTTAGTAGTCATGCTAATTTACTAGTGTTTTTCTGTCTATTTATAATACATGTCTGATCTTGATTTTGTTTGTGCTAAGTGGGACCTATTGAGTCTTTTTTAATTTTTTTTTTCAAATTACATACCAACCACAGATTCGACTCTCATCCCTCCTCTTGCTCCCACTCCTCCCACCTTCTCTTCTTGCCCCCACAACTCATCTGCTCTTCCAACAGGGTAAGTTCTCCCATGGGCAGACAAGCTAAGCCTGGTACATTCAGTTGAGGTAAGACCAAGCCCATCCCCTGTGCATCAAGGGTGAGCAAAGTGTCTGGCACTAGGTAATGTGATCCAGAAAGCCAGCTCATGCACCAGGGATAGATCCTGATCACACTGCCATGGGCCCCTCAAACAGACCCAGCTACACAACTGTCTCTGTATGCAGAGATTCTAGTCTGGTTCCATGCAGGTTCTACAGCTGTAAGTCTAATGTTCATGAGTTCCTTTGAGCTTGGTTCAGTTGTCTCTGTAGATTTTCCCATCATGATCTTGACCCCCTTTGCTCATATAATCCCTCTTCCTCCCCTTAAACAGGACTCCTGGAGCTCAGCCAGGTGCTTGGTTGCATTCTCTGTATCTACTTCCATCAGTTACTGGACGAAGGCTCTGTGATAACTCTTGGGGTATTCATCAGAATTATTACCAGGGTAAGCCAGTTCAGGTACCGTCACTACTATTGCTAGTAGCTAATCTGGGATTGTGGGTTAATGGAAATTTCCCTAGCACCAGGGGCCTGTGACCTTTCTCTAACTCCTTATAAGAGGTCAAGTACAATGGCAGGAAATACCGCCTCCTTTGGGTCATACAGTCCAAGGTCATGGGTGCAGCAAATACCGCTACATTTACCCATTTAGTCTAAATAAAAAGGTTCTAATCTTAATGCAAACCATATACTGTAATATGAATCTTGAAAGTTCTTGTTAACAAAATCAAACCCAGGGCAAGGTATTAGAGTGAATGCTGGAAGATCAGAGTAGCAGAACAAACCACAGCTTCCTCACCTTGCCAATTCCTCAGCTGATCCTGTTCCCTCAGACTGGAAGCCTCAGAGTCCTCATCTAAACAGATCTCAGCTGAACTGCTACTCAAAAGCCTAAAAGCTTAACCAGCACTAGTTCCTGGTCCTCACACCTTATATACCTTTGTGCTTTCTGCCATGGCTTCCTGGGATTAAAGGCTCACTTCCTAGGATTAAAGGCATGAGTCACCATGCCTGGCAGTTTCCAGTGTGGCTTTAAACTCACAGAGATCTCTGCCTCCCAAGCGATAGGATTAAAGGCATGTGTGCCACCATTTTCTGGCCTTATATCTAGTAGCTGTTCTGTTCTCTGACTCCAGATAAGTTTATTAGGGTACACAATATTTTGGGCAACACAATATCACCACAATATACAATAAGAATGATAATCAAGTATTGTTCAGGAAAAAGACAGGCTAATGACATAAACAAAATGGAAATACAAACAACACAAATAACATTAAACAAGAAAGACATGCTAAATGTCCAAAACATGGGTAAATGGCACATTACTGAGGTTACTCTAACAGCTGTCCTGTCGTGAAGATTCTAACTCTAGTACTAATATGTTCTAGCTAAGATACAAGATGATTGCAACTGTAACTATCTAGTCTTCAACTCCATCAAAGACCAGAGAAGGAACATAATAATACTGGAGAAAACTAAAAATGCAAGCAAGTCATTTCCAAAATTCTTGTGAGAACAGACAGAGACAGCTGGCAGCCTGGACAGTCACCTAAAGTTTCTCAGCATCATTGGGGCAATCAATTTGTTGACAAACCTAGAATACCTGACAGACCATTTTCAGAAGCAGGAATTTTTGAAGACCATCTTACCCTGTCTTGGCAGAGTTCACTAGTCACTTTTTCTTGTTTTCCTTAACTTGTCAGTGGTCTTACTTTTTACAATATGGATGACAGGTAAAGAGCTCATACATTTTCTAGATCCATCCATTTGCTTGCAAATTTCATGATACCATTGCTTTTTACTGCTGAGGGCGAGGAGTGGGGGATGAGAACATAGGGAAATGGGAGGGTCAAGCTGGAACAGGGACAGAGTGGGAGGGTGGGGAGGAAGATACCATGATAACTGAGGACATCATGGGAATAGGAAGAGGCAGGGTGCTGGGGAGGCTCTCAGGAATCCACAAGGTTGACCCCACCTTGGTCTGCTGGCAGAGGTCCAGAGGGGGCCTGGAATGGTCTACTCTGGTGACCAGCCTAGCAAATAACCTAGCTGTTATCATAGAGCCTTTGTCCAGTGACTGATGGAGGCAGATACAGAGATCCATGGCCAGGCACCAGGCTGAGCTCCAGGAATCCAATTGATGAGAGAGGAGAGATACTGCAGGTGAGAGATGTTGAGATCATGATGGGAGGACATGCAGAGATGACTGGCCACACTAATGGAAGCCATGAACTGTGGACTGGTGGCTGTGGAGTCCCCATGGGACTGGACTAGGCCCTCTAGATACGGAAGACGTTTGATTGGCTCGAACTGTTTGGGGGGCACCCAGGCAGGGGGATCGGGATCTGTCCCTGGTCTATGGGTAGGCTTCTGGAATCCGGTGTTTGTGGTGTGACACCTTGCACAGCCTTCGTGCAGTAGGAAGGAGCTTGGACCTGCCTAGGCTCAGTGTGCTGGGCTTTACTGACTCCCCATAGGAGAACTCAATTTGAGGGATGTGGGAATGTGGGGTGACTTGGGAAAGAGGGCTGGGGGGTGGGAGGAGGGAGGAGGGGGGGTCTGTGGATAGCATGGGGAGTGATTAGAAAAATTTCTTAATACTGAAAAATGAAAATAAATAAATAAAAAGAGCTCATATATGACGAGCAGGAAGCAGAGCCTGAACTCTTGAAGGTGACTCTCTTTTTTTCTGCCATTTATTCCATTCAGACCCACAGTACTGGGATGACTCAGCAAACTATAGTGGTCTTTCCCTTGTGTCTAAGATAATGCTACATGGAAACACTCTTCCAGATCTATCCAAGGACACTAAGATAAATAAATCAGAAACAATAGGTCTGACTTAGCAAAATGAAATAAGACCAGATATGTATTTTAAATAGATCATTAAACCCTAGTAAAAGAGCATAATCACTAAAAGTCTCCCCACCAAAAAAAGTCCAGGACCAGGAGTTTGAGGGAAGCAGTACCTGAAATTCTGACCCCAAACCCACATGGAGAAAAGTCACTAATATTACTGGTTAGCCACTTGCCAAAGCTTCCTAAGAGGAACCAGAAAGAAATCAGAGAAAGGAAGAAATTGCAGTAAAAAAAAAAAACTTTCAAACTAGCCTCACATAATATAAAATATGTTGTTGGAAACTGTAACAAAGCAAGTGAAAGACTTCTATGATCAAAACTTCAAGTCTTTGAGGAAGAAAGTAAAGAAGATATCACAAAATGGAAAGATCTCCCATGATCATGGATAGGTAGAATCAACATAGTAAAAATGGCAATCTTACCAATAGTAATATACAGATTCAATGCAATTCCTGTCAAAATCCCAACATGATTCTTCACAGACTTGGAAAGAACAATACTTAACTTTATATGGAAAAACAAAAAACTTAGGATAGTGTAGTGGGTAGCCATTCCAGCTTTGATCTGGAAGTTTCAACCCCCATTGAGACTGGCAACTGTCATGTCTACAAAGCGGGGCCAAGGGAGGTGCCTGGGGACCCGAGATCTGGATCGGCGACTGGTGCTCTCTCTGTTGTGGGACCCTGGATAGTGGAGGTGAACTGAGCAGAGCTCCAGAGAACACCGCTGGACTGTGATACACCTTCCCCAGACTCTGCGACCTACCTATCCCTTAATATGTAAGTTATGCCATTAAATAAATCTCCCTTTAACTACATGGAATGGCCTTAATAATTTCAACAATATCTGGCGCCCAACGTGGGGCATGAACCCACAACCCTGAGATTAAGAGTCTCATAAAACAACCACTGGAGGCATCATGATCCCTGACTTCAAGCTCTACTATAGAGCTATAGTAATAAAAACAGCTTGGTACTCGAGTAAAAACCAACATGTGGACCAATGGAATTGAATTGAAGACCCTGACATTAATCCACACACCTATGAACGTATGATTTTCGACAAAGAAGCCAAAACTGTACCAAGGAAAAAAGAAAGCATCTTCAACAAATGGTGCTGGCATAACTGAATGTCAACATGTAGAAGGTTGCAAATAGATCCATATCTGTCACTATGTACAAAACTCAAGTCCTAGTGGATCAAAGACCTCAACATAAATCCAGTTACACTGAACCTGATAGAAGAGAAAGTAGGAAGTAGTCTGAAATGAATTGGCACAGGAGAAGCCATGCAATTTCCTGATGTTTATCTTGATCAATCACCCCACCTGACACTGTTATTTTCTTCTTGGCCTGTTGGATTAAGGATATCAGAAGCTCAAAGTAGCTTGGAGAAGTCTGAGCTTCCAGTTCAATGATCTGTCTGTTATAGCTCCAGTCAGGAGCATTGCCCCACAAATCACACTGGAATCAAAATTTCCAAGAAAAAAAATTAAAGTCATAGAAACAGAAAGCAAAATTTTTCCCAAGAGTTCAAGAGTGGTAATAGTGAGTGGAACTATTCCCTTTTCTAACACCTGGTGCTTGGACCCATGGATCTGGGCTATGGAGAAATCTGCCTCTTGGAGAACACTACTTCAGCCCTCCAGGTTGCAACCACTTCATTGGCTCCATAACTGTGTCTTCAAAACATCATGAGAGCTGCTTCAGGGTGTTGGTGAACCTGCTACAACCAGTGGATCTCATGATAGTGTGCCACAGTTGCACTTATCTGTCTGTGAATTTTATCTTGGTCACAAGCTATACTGTGTGGAATAACATGATGGTTGAAAAGACATTCTGTTAGTCCCTGTGTAGTAGTTTTGGTAAAAATCATTACAGATGGGAAATGCAAATTTATATCTAGAATAAGAATCTGTTCCAGTAAGGAAGAAGTATTGTCCATTCCAGAGAAAGAGGTCCAATGTAGTCATCCTGTCATGACTTTGTTGGATGGTCAGCCTGGGGAATGTGACATCTCTGGGTCTCTGTGTTGGTCCTTGTTTTTGGCATATCTGGCATTCAGCAGCAGGTGTAACCAGGTAAGTCTTAATGAGTGGATATCTATGTTGTTGATTTCATGCATAACCCCCATCTCAGCTACAATGGCTACTGTGATCATGGGCCCATGGGGCAATATCAAAAATGACTTGGGAAAGAGTCTGACAGTCCATGGAATGGTTCATCATATCTAATTAATTATTGACTTCCTCCTCTGCTGAATGCACTTTCATGAGCATTTTTAGGGGACAAAAATATCTTCACATTATTTGCTCCTTTGCAGATCTGTCCAAATACTTCTTCCCCAAATGTCTTTCCAATTTTACTTTATTTCCTTATTTGTTTTTATGTTTTCTTCTTTCATACAATGCCATCTGTCCATAGTCTCCTCTCCTTCCACTCCACATAGATGTACTACTCCTCTGTTTCCCTACAGAAAAGCATAGATCTCCTGGGGATAGCAACTGGACACAACATACCAAGATGTAATAATAGTAGGCACAAACCCTCATATCAAGCCTAGAGGAGCGAACCCAGAAGGAAGAAAAGGTTCCCGAGATCAGACAATTATGTCAGAGACTCCTCATACTCACCTTCTTAAGAGTCCCATCAACTACTGAGCTAAAAAACCACAACATGTATGCAGAGGACTTAGTACAGACCCATGCAGGCTCTGTGATTGCGTCTTAGGACTCTGGGAGCCCCAATGAGCTCTGTTTAGATGAATCTGTGGGCTCTGTTCACCAGGTGTCTTTGAACCCTCCTATACTTCCGCCTCTCTCTGTTCTTTGAGGTTCCCTGATCTCTGCCTAATGTTTGGCTGTGGATCTCAGTGTCTGCTCCCATCACTGCTGGAGAAAGCCTAACTGATGGCAATTGGGCTAGGCACCAATCTATACGTATAACAGAATTTCATTAGGTATTTTCTCATTGACGTCTCTGTGTGTGTGTGTGTGTGTGTGTGTGTGTGTGTGTGTGTGTGTGTGTGTGTCAATGAAGATGGCACAAACTTCCACACCTGAGCAGAGTTTGATGGACTAAAATGGGATTTTCAAACAGAAACACCACAGGAATCCACAAGCTGATTTTAGAATTTTTATTCATTTGATGTTTTATTTGGGAAGGTATTGTCTACAGAGATGGATGTGCCCATGGAGACAGGAAGAGGACTGAACAAGGGACCTCTACAAGAACAATAATTGCTTTTGCCAACTGAGACATCTCTCCATTCCCACACACTGCGTTTGGAGGAAAATGTCTTCTTTCTCTTTCCCTTCTCTTGTAAGCAAACATTCATGTTTATTTTCTCCTTTATGAGTCCTAACCATATGTTCTGCTCAGTCCAATCCAGACAAGTTTCTCCAAAGAAACCCTGTTGTGATGTGCTTGGGGCCAGCAACTAAAACATATTCCAGTTCCCAACTCATTGGACAAAAATCAAACCAGTACAGTAACAGGGTAGTGTATAATATAGCTCAGCACTTCCCTCCATTAACCTGACAATCAACTCATTTACAGCTGTATTAAAGCCTGAACCACTATGCTGTCTTTCCCAAGTTTCACTGGAAATGCTCCACTGATCCCATAGTCTACCCAGGTGTCATTGGTAACAACACTAGCTGCTGCTTCGGGGAGAAAGGTATAGGACACAGCTGACCAGGTCCTAAGATTGCTTCAAGCGTTTGAAAGGGGGCTCCAAGAATGGGAGACGAGCAGAAGCCAGGGAACAGTATGCTTCAGAAACTAAATGGGGATATGAGTCCACCATTGCCTTCCAGCCTGAGGTCTCACAGACCTCAGAAGCATGAGCTGTAATGAAATCCAGTGCCTGGGTTTTCAGTTGCTCTGAACTGTGGAGGTCAGCCAGGATAAGAGTGTGGGCAGCATTCTCCACAGAGAGGTCTCTGCAGAGGGCATCCTCACACATGACCTTCAAACGCTCCAGGCCATACTTGTCAGCAGCTGCCAGCAGAACATCTGCCATGCTGTCGAGGTCTGCTGTTTTTCCGGTATAAATGAAGCCCATCATTGCCTTGAAGACTTGTGGCTCCAGGTCAGGGATCTCAAAGCAGTTCTTTCTGCTCTTCTCCATGTCGTGTTCAAACATGGCTCTGAAAACTGGAGAGCGAGCTGCTAAGATGGCCTTGTGAGCTTGGAATTCCTGGCCAGCTACCACCAGGCAGCAGTCTGTGAATCGGGAATTCTCCCACAGCTCTCCTAGCTCATCAGCCAATGTGCATCTGGGAACTTGAATCCCTGGCTTCCTGTTCTGATCAGAGATACTGAAGGAGTCCTGGACCACGCTGACCTTGCAGAGGAGGGTGAGCTGATCATCTGGGAGAAGATGAGGTGCATGGGACAAGAGGAAATCTCGAAGGATGTACTTTTTGAATCCGTAGCCAAGGCCTGACATGAACTTAAAGGCTCTTGGGCTCCTCATGGTTTGCATTTTCTCTCCTTCAGCACTTATGATCCAGAACTGGAACTTTGCCCAAACATGACTCTTTGGACAGCTGAGCAAAAGTAGATTAACTGACAGGTAATCTGCACTTACTTCATCAATTCCCTTTGGGTATAATCTCAAACACCATTTGTCATTGGCTCCTATTGAGAAAGTTGGGCTTCTAAAGCTTTCTGTTATTTCCTCCACAATAAAACGGAAGTTGCTGATGGTCCACATGTAGGAGGATTTCTGAAGGCTGATTTGTGTGTGGTCCCATCTCTGTGCTGTCTCATCTCCAGCCATTTCTCCTGGAGGTAGTGTGAAGGTTAAACTGGATCCAAAATGAAGAACTAGCAATTGTTTTCTCTTCACCTGTGAGACACAAAAATAGACATGAATTATATTTTAAGTTTTTGTTTCTCATCTATTCCCTTTTTGATGGGGCTGGAAACTTGGATCTCTTAAATTTTCTATACAGATTTCAATACTAGTTTCAGAGAAGACAGTGTAGGCTACTAGGAACTCTTACATCACTCCATTTTTCATCTAGATTGAATCTTAGTTCAATAGGTAACTGGTTTTGACAACTATACACAGCTGTTGAATATTTTGAAAAATTATGTACACTCGTGTCAAAAAATGTTGTACTAGGTTCTCTAGAGCAACAGAACATATACAAGGCATCTCTGTGTATGAAGGAAGGAGATTTATTAGAATGACTTAGGGCTACAGTCCTGCTAATCCCACATTGCCTATGAAGGAAAGACCAAGATTCCAGTACTTACTCAGTCTAGGAGGTTGGATGTGTCCACTGGTCTTCAGTATATACTGGAGTTCCAAATATTCTCTATTGCCAGGGAAGGGATGGACTTGCTGCAAGGTAAGGGAAAGCAGGCAAAGAGCAAGATCTTCCTGCTTCCATGTCCTTTTATGCTTCCAGCAGAAGGTGTGGCCCAATTTAGGGTGTGTCTTCTAGCCTCAAGATCTGGATTAAAGGGGTGTGTCTTCAGGCCTTGAGATCTGGATTTAATGTTTGTGTCTTTTTACCTCCAAGTCCGTTCTTGAATTGTATCTACTCACTTCAACTGAAAGAAAACTGTTCTCTATGGTGGTATTGTGTTCCCCCAAATATTGTGCACCCTCATAAACTTATCTGGGGTCAGAGACAGAACAGCCACAATATTAAACATAGAGGATAGGCAGTGGTAGCACACACCTTTAATCCCAGCACTTGGGAGGCAGAGCTAGGCAGAAATCCTTGTGTTCAAGGGTATAGCCAAGCATGGTGACTCACGCCTTTAATCCCAGAAAGGGAGCCTTTAATCCCAGGGAGTGATGGTAGAAGGCAGAAAGATATACAACGCATAAGGACCAGGAACTAGAAGCATTTTGGCCTGGTTAAGCATTTGGCTGGTTAAGCTTTCAGACTTCTAGCAGCACAGACCCAATTGAATGAGGATTCAGAAGCTTCCAGTCTGAGGAAAAAAGACCAGCTGAGGATCCGGCGAGGTAAGGTAGTTGTGGCTTGTTCTGGTTCTCTGATCTTACAGTGTTCAACACAATACCTGGCCTGGTTTGATTTTATAAATAAGACCTTCTAAGATTCTCTCTACAGTCCTCACTGCTGTGCCCTCCATTTTAGGGTTTTAGTTAATTCCATGTCTTGTTAGGTTGGGAACCAAGAATAAATACCACAAGAGTATTTTGCTTATTGTAGCTCATCTTAAATAAAACAGGGATGGTGTCCATTCCTACCCAGCTGTTATTTCCTCTTCTCAGGGTTTTACACCAACTCCTCCCACTAACGTGATCTGGGAAGAGGTGTCTTCCTTTCCCAGTCAGGGGTCTCAGTGTTCACAACTTGGAGATCAGGATGGAAGAATTCACACATGGTGGGCAAGAATCAGAGCCAGGTAAGAATTGCTGAAAGTGGCAGTCATTTGAATCCAGACTCACATTCCCCGGCATAACTCCACCAACTTACATTGGTGGTCTTGCCCCTCCCCACCCTCCAGATAATCCTTGGCCACACTCTTTCAGTTCCAGTTAAGGGTGTGCTAAGAGTAGATCCTAAGTGCTTCTCAATTTCATCATGCTGACTGCCAAGATTCAGCTTCTCAATATCTCATAATTTTCATCCTTCACTGGTGAGTTCTGTCCTCTTTAAACTTTGAACTTGCATGCTTACATTGCTGGGCCTTAAAAGTGAGACAGTATTTAGGTTTCCAAAAGGTGTAGAATATATTCAACAGTTACCAACGATGGGCTTTTGAGACCGTTTCCCTTCGTTTGTGATAAGTAAAATGCTCCCCACATCTATCATCTCTCTCCAGCTCATCATGTCTGTAGGGACTCACTAAGACTAGAGAACACGACAATACCTTCACTGATTTAATCAGCTCAGCAATTCCCAGTCTACCTCTCCTGAAAGTATGGCTCTGATGCTTTCTTCCCTCAATCCAGGATAAATCAATCAACTGGTTTTGATCTCTGAAAGTTTGGTTCCACATTTATGAATCTTTGGCAGGTGGCTAACTAGTAGCCTAGTGACTCTTCTTTATGTATTTAGGATCAGGGGAGCAGGTACTTCAGAGTAGGAGCAATTTCTCATAAGGGAACAGACTCCTGCCAGGGGCTCAATATAGGATCTTTTCATATAGTCTCTCATTCCAGGAATGGGACAGGTGGATCTTTTATTTCACATAGTGGTTCTCTGGGCGACCTGGCACAGACAAAAGGATTCAGATTTCCAACTGGAGAAGGCACAAGTCTTAAGCAGCAGGGGTGTCCACATAACAGAGAAAGCCAATGCCAACCTTCAATACAGCAAAACAAAACTTACAGTAACACATAGAAAGATTTGCAGACAAACATAAGCACGGGGAAAGAGACAGAGAGAGAGAGAGAGAGAGAGAGAGAGAGAGAGAGAGAGAGAGAGAGAGAAGAGAGACTTTTTTAGACAACTGGCAAACACATGAGGTATTCTGGATTCTGTTGCAGCAACCAGCCTTTCTCAGGGTGAGCTTTTAAGTACAAAATCCATATTCTGGGATGAGAAACTTCTGTTAA